CCACAGTTCTTCACACAAGCTAATTTTAAGAGCTGGTCCAAGCAACATAAACTGCTGGTAATGATAGTTGACTGACTTGATTTTCCAGAGATTGAATTTATCCTATGTGAAAGGGCAGTTATGCAGCCTTTGAGCAACATTTTGAACTAAAGAATCTATCCAACAATGATTAGAAATTTTTTTTTTAATCTTAAAAAAAAATTTCAAGTAGAGAGGACCACAGGAAAACATCCATTTTTTTGAGTACTGAAGTGAGACTCATCTATTTGTGCATACATCACATCACATAAGAGGTGAAATACAAATTTTAAAAACACATCACATAATCATTCAATGAAATTGAGCACATTTGGAAAATAAAAACTGCCTTGAACACATGAAATGTGGAAGATTTGCTCAACCCTTGGGCAGCAAAGTTGGACTTTTTTTTGCAAAATTTTGTGTCACCTAGAGTCAAATTTTAAAAAATGCCAGCCAGTGATGAGTGGACGGCAAAGTCGGAGAAAATCCTGGCGTTTTTTTGCTCTGCACAGAAAATTTTTGCTGAAAGATAAAAAAAGGAATCCTCAGGGCAGAGGCTTTTTTTCTGCCCCAAATGTGGCTTGGCACTTTTGGAAGAAGTCCTTCATGACCTTCCTAATCTTCTTCCATCTGTGGTGTAGGAAAATTTTGCTACTTTCATTTAGACACTGGCACTGTTCCTTGAAAAGGAATTTGTGAAACAAGGGATTAAAGCCACAATGAGAAGCAACACTGAAGAAGATTTAGAGAAAGCTAGCTATAGGAAATAAGCTGAGGTGGAACAAATTTTTTAAATCTTGCTCATTCAGGATCTCATCAAAGCAATTCCAAGGGATTTGAAAGCACACAACATTTTTAAAGGGTTTTGTAGTGGACTCAAGGCAATGCTACTGGTTGGGAGGTCAATCCGGAAAAAGTCCAACTTTGGAAAATTCAACAGTCTGCATTCCCCTGGATTTTGTCCGACTTTGCCTCACACAACTTGGCTGGGGTTTTGTGACCTCCAGAAAAATGGAAACGTGGCAGTATACAGGAAAAGTCTGACTTAGCCGCGGGATGGGAAAGAACCCTTTGCCGCAGAAGGGTTAAGGAAACATTCTCAGAATATGGTAGTTTATTTCCTGGAGGATGATCTTTTGGAGCTGAAGAGCTGAAGGCACCAGCATTGGAGCTGAAGAGGTATGGAGCTGAAGAGGTATGGAGCTGAAGTCCAAGATTAGCCTCAAAGGCTGTATATTGTGGAAATTGCAGAGGGCTTTGAAGGCACCAATCAAAAGTACAATTGTGAGTCCCTGGACTGGTTCAATGTTTATTGACCAAGTCAGTGTACAGGAGAAAATACAGATTGGGATTTTTTGTTATCAGGGGTCTGAAAGAGGCCCACAAAGTTGAATCCTGTGCTTTCAAACAGGATTAATCCCAAGATTCAAAAGTCTGGGAGGGGTGCAACTGGAGGTAGGAAGGGCTTGGTGTCAAATTGGCTGCACCAATTGCAGGACTTTTGTACAGTAATTCTCCCTCTCTGAAACCAGAAGGTTTTCGTGAGGATTGTGACAAGTACATTGAATGACATGTGTCCCAGCTCTTCATGGTAGTCTTTGAAGAGGAGCTTTATTAATTTTTTCCCCAGACCTCTGACAATTGCGGGAGATGAATGAGAACCACTTGGCTAAGGTGTGCCATGGGTACTTTTGTCTTCTTGTCTTGGGTCTGCCTGCTTTTTAAGACAACCATTTCAAGTCAAGAGTTCGAAACAAGGTTTGAGTGGTCTTCAATTTTCATTCCTAATTTTTTATCCAAAACAACCTTGGGGATGGAAATTAGTTGGACTATTAATTTGTATGAGGTCCACCTGACCATCTGCTAAATCCATCTGGCTGAACCAAGAGGATTCCTGACTCTTTTTAGTGGTCCAAGGGGCACCAGATGGGTCTCTTTTGTCCCCCTTTGGCTGCGGCCTTTTAAGAGGGCAAAGAGTTTCCTCTGGATGAGGATCCTGCGCACCTCTTTAGTCCAACTGCCTACCCCTTTCAGTAGTTTTGAGAAGAATTTTGAGCTTCCTTTCTTGCTCTCACTATCCAGTATTCCAGTGGAGATTTGGGCCAGAGTGTTTGGAGCCATGATGTGGGGTTTGCCAACCAGGTGGGTCTGGGCCACCAAAGAGTTGACTCCATCAGCTCTGAGAGTTTTGCTCCTCTTGCTGCCATGTTTGCTGAGTCTTTTGTCCCAGGGACATGATACCAATTTGTTTTGACTAAATTTTGGTGGATCCTGTCAACTCTTGTTTTGATACATGCATTTGGAGATGCTGCTGGAGAGAATCCAGCCAAGGGTTACCTCTGAATCTGTCCAAAAGAAGACATTGTCACATGGAATTCCCAGGATATTTCTGTACAAGGCTGACTCCCAGACAGGCAGCCAAAAGTGCCACTTGGTTGATTCAGAGCCCTACTGAATATTCAGCAGCTCTTTTGTCACCCTCTGTTTTCCTAGTACTATCTAAGTTTAGATTTTCCGGCCACCATGATTGGGCTGCTGCTTTCATCTGATGGGGAACAACTCCAGGAAAACAAACAAAGCAGGGACAGCATGTAACATTGCTTAGACTAGGCTATGGTTATCCTGCCTTCAGAGCCTAAGGCAGACAATTAAAAAATAAACAGAAGTCTCCTAAAGTTGCATAAGAAACATATGACAAGCAGAAACCAGGCTTAGGATGATATTTTTGAAGAGAAAAGAAAACAATAATCCAAAATGGAAAGTTCTTTTGGAAAAAATGTACTTGTAATGTTTTTTATTTGTGGAAAACTGAATAACCATTGAACATTTTTGGAGAATGTAGGAAATATTGTTCTAAAAACAAAAAGTAATATCAATTTTTTTGTCTAGATTGAAAAATTCAACAGCTTTTGTGACATGGATGGAGAGTGCTTGCCAGAACTGGAAAGTTTTCACTTATTGTCTTGCGGTGCAAATCTAAAAACTTTCAAAATATCTGGAAAATTCCAGAACCTTAAAATTGGATGAGCTATATGGTAGATTTTTTTTAAAAGTGGTATACCTAGTGTAGAAATACCTAAAGTCGATTAGAAATGGGACAAACCTTGTACACAATGCGCCAACATAAATTTACAAAAAATAGGCAAATCTGATCATTTTCCTTGGACATTCAAATAGTGACACATTAAAATTTGTATATATTATATATATATATATATATGAAGATACAAATTTGGAAATTTGGACATTCCATTTTTAGACAAATTAAATCAAAGTATACATGTTGGCATGATATGTATGCTGGTCAAGACGACAAACAATAGATAAGTTGGCACTTTATAATAATTAAATCTGTTTCAATATATACTGCACTGTCTAGGAGTATACATGGATCAAAAATAACGCACACGACCCATCCGTTTATTTTTACACGCCAGAAACAGAATTGCAAAGGCCCTCGTCGTCAATATAAATTTCATATGAAGATTGTTTTCGTAAAAAAAAAATCGACTTGAAAACAGTAGAGGAGTCATCATATCGTCACAGAGAGTATTATCTCATATCCAGTCCTTCGGTGCATGCTACACTCTCGTGCGTCACGCATGCGTCAAACATGATAACCCAACGTCTTGAAATACGAACAGCCATGCTGTGCAGCAGCAGCTGATGTGATGCAGCTGCATGCTTGACACACATGCGTGAAGAGAACGAAGCTTGAATAATAGTGAAGTCATGAATTCTATGCTGGCTGGGATCAAGATCATCATCATGCTGCATGCTGTAGCTCATTACAGTACTATATGACGAGCTGCACTTTATTAACATTCATGAAATATATATATGTATATACTGTACATATTTCATCCATACGTATTATCTGTACTTGGATGATGACGATTCTTACTCACGGATTTCATGATGAGGATCCATGCTGCAGTTTAAAGCTTGCTCCTTTGTACCATGGTTACTTGTGATTCAGAATAAACCATTATATTCCTACGCCACTCTTTATATATAATACACACGTAGGCAAAGTCATATAGATCAACTTTTTGGATTTACATACCAAAAATGCAGCCGCTCAAAAATTGAATGCAAATTGTATAACTGGATATTTTCTGAATTCCAATATGTAATGGAAGCCCTGCTGAGCACCATCCTCCATCACTTTGAAGACCTCGAATAAGTAAAAAATACAGTATTATGTATCAGCGTACAGCTAATATATACAGTAACACGGATACTATTTAATATATTTTTTATAAGAACATAAAACCAGAGAAAATCTCGTACATTCACTCTTAAAATTAAGTAATTGGGTATTCTTATAATAAAGTACAGTATAATATAGTAATATACAATATAATACAGTACAGTACAATAGAAGTATTCGTACAAAAACTTCGAACTTCGTAAACCACTCTTATAGTAAGCTCCATGAAAACTAACACCGTTTTTTCTAACCCTGCCATACATTTTTGCATTCATTTTGCAGTGCATTGGCAGTTTGGAAAGTCATCAGCAGTGAACAAAAGCCAAATTTTTGAAGACAATTTATAATACTGTAATAGTCTTTTCCCATAATGCGTCATGCATTTTTTGAATTCCTGACGGACCAATCAATTGATTAGATGTAACAAAACTTTCCAACAAGGCATAAGACCTAATACGCATGCTCGGAAACTAAGAAATTGCCCTTCTATCTTTATTTTGATGCAATCCGTGGAATAGATCATATTATTTATTTGTTCTACACAATTTTTATAACTGTAAAGAAGCATCAGGAATGTTCTCCCAACTGGGAGGAGTTGCAGAGCCTCTGATCCTTGAAAACATGTTTTAAAGCCTACATCGGAATTGCCTTCATACAAAACATAATCAGACACCCCAATTGCTTTGGCATTGCTCATACTCTCAAGGAATTTCCAATGAACGATGTGCTGGAGGAATGAATGGCGTCCAAAAGAACAGGAAAGGAATTGCACAGAACAAGGCATCTTTTCCCTTCATTAATTCCATCCATTCTGACAAAAGAAAAAAACGATCAGGAGAGAAAGCAAAAAAAATGTCTCGACTCCTGTCCATCACAAAACAATCTTGAGGACGTCATGATGAGAAGATATAAAAAAAAAATGAGATGAAAAAATAAAACACCGGCAACAAAGGAACCAATACACGGGGAAAATGTCCACTCCTGCATCCTTTTGGATACAATTCCTCATCACGTGAATGCTGAATTGTCAGCACAGAACCAAAAAATTTTAAAAACATAACACAAGCCCAATACTTGCAAAATTTTGGCACAATACAAAATCTTCGCAATGACACAACGTTGCAGCAACAAAAAAAAAAAGCCTCCTCAGTATAAAAACGCAATCTAATTCATCCCACAAAAAGTTTCCGTTATTTTTTTGGCGCGATCAGATTTTCGAGGTAATCTTAAGAATTTCGGTTCTTTCTTCGCATGCGGTGGCAATTATTTTACGAACCCTCCATCGATTTCGTCCCACGAGAATTTCCCTTCGAAATCAAATCAAACTCTGCCCAACCGAACTGCCACTGCACGCGAAAGTAAAGCCCCGGAATGGTCAGAGCGCAAATGCACTTAAAATCGGTTTATCGCAGGAAATCAACTGTTTTCATCACACATGCATACCGGGAAACATCAACAGCTTGTGCATACAGCACTTCACCGACCACAAAAAAAAAAGCTTCGATCTCTCTAAAAAAAAAAAACACAATTCTCGCAATTTGTGCGGAATCAGTCAAAAAAGGCGGACTTATCGAGAAACACGCAATATAACCGGGTTGCGCTAAAGACAGACTCGATCAAGCGCTTCCAGTTCTTGCTCCGAGACTTCATCATTGGGTTCCTTCAGAGGTGTAAAATAGGGAGTTGCTGTTCCTCCATTCGATTCCGTCAAAGGGGTTTGCATAAGCAGCTTGTCATTCTCCTCAGCTTCCACGTCGTCCTTTTCCTCCACCGATTTCCAGTCCTGTTATTTTATAGTAAGAACATCAATAAAATGTACTGTATCCTTCGATCCCCGCATCAGAACCCAATGCAGAAAAATCTCGTTACAACTTACAACGCATGTTTGGGGACGTAAGAAAACGTCTGCTATAGTGAGTTATTGGTTGAGATGAGATTTTCAATGTTAATGTAGGAGGAAGTGTTCACTTACGACCTGCGTTTTTAATCAATTAGACCTTGCTTTTCCGTGATTCTCAGATATTTTATCGTTGCTGGAAAATCTGAGAGATATTCAGAAAAAAAATTCGATCAGGTATTCCATTAGTTGCAACAATCACTTCCTTCTGGGACGAAGATCTGAGTGGAACCACTTGTTTGGAAGCACGTTTGTCATTGATTAAAGCTTCCATCCACGCTAAAAGAGCGTTCAGTCACATTTCAGATCGAAAGTTTCAGTGTGCCCGCATGGTAGTCAGGAAATTTCTACCTGGAGGATCTATTAAACATTCCTCAAGAAAGTTCGTTATACTGGAATTTCGAAGTTTGCTACACAGCTGGACATCAATTACAACTCGAATCTCCATAGGTCACTGTCTGAATTAACTAAGTAACAATGTAATGAAACCCTACATTTTCCTCTCGAACCTCCGCAACTCGAATTTTCTGAAGCCTTTCGCCTGTTATTTTCTTGACACAGGAAAGATAAAAGTAATAAAAAAGGAAACTTGGTGTGTTCTGAAAAGATGTGAAAGACTAATTGGGCAAATTAACTTCTGCCTCTAATCAATTCATTTCAGCAACCTGTCAACTCAATCAAGAAACAAATTAAGTCCTAAAATATATATCACCATTTACAATTTCCTGCAATTCTTCCATCTGTCACCACAAAAATGCTCACTTCCTCAACTCAATGCCTACCTAATTCGAATTTTTTTTTTGCTGGTCCCTTTATTGAAATTCGACTTACAGAGGTTCGACCGTAACAATAAGGTTTGTTTTAACATGTACTCTACGCGGGCTTTCCGCTGGGACTTGATGAAAAGTTTGTTATACAGTACTGAAAAATTCGTTGTACTGTAGTAACACGGTATTTGTTGTAACAAGATTTTCCTGCGGTCGTTTCTCGTTTCTCACACTCTCGACTTCCGCACTCTTCTTCATCGTCGGCGAGGACGACTCTTCCCCAGACTCTGTCGGCGGATGAGAAGGATCCTTCGGGCCTGCCGTGTGCAGAAGCAGGAGAGGCAGGAGAAGAATCCCATGTGCAGCCCCAAACATCATCACCAAGCACACGGTTTTGAAGAAGATCGTGAACACGTAGGCTGGGATCCGTATCATGGCCACAACAGCCAGGACGCAAGACGACGCACCCTATACACGAACAAAACATATGTGACAGAACAATAAGACGAGTAAAATACGTAAACCTCCTTTCAGAATTCTAGACCATCGTCGCATCAAAATAATTAAGACGCGGATAAAATATAGAGGGACCCCGACATACGGACGATCCGACTTGGAGGTGTACAGTACTTCAAAATATTCAAAATTATGGACAATTCTATGAAGCCACGGGGATTATTTAAAAATTCGTTTCTTCATTTCAGAATGTATGCCTTCCTTCAAAATAAACAGTATGCTGAAAAGAATCTTCCTGTATTTAGAAGAATAAACAGGCATGAATGATTAAATTTATTGGGGAGAAACTGCAGAACCAAATTTACCCAAATAGAATGCGCACCTTTTTTCTCAAATTTGAGATGAAAAAGGGGGTGTGCATCACAGCTGGGTCAACAGTTTTAAAAATTTAGGAGCACATTGAATAGAAAACTTATTTTAATGAAAAAATGTTGATTGGTCAAATTCAAATTCAATTCTTGCTCAAATTCAATTTTGGGCGTTATTTTTTCAATATTGTGGTTCTAGAGTTAGTAGAAATGGGGTGCGAATCTTAATTGAGGAAGTGATTTCATTAAAAATTTCAACTGAAAAAGCCAAGTGCTAGTGTACTTTACTGAAGAGTGAACACGGTATTTTCCCCCTGCGTAATTTTATTTTTCAAGACGAACAGCACAACAGTAGAAAGGAAGGCTAGGCTTAACTTTAGAGAAGTACTATTACTATATATTCAAAAATGTTCCTTTCCATTTCATCAGAGTGACTCAAAATTATTGACAGGTCTCGATGAATCTGCCTTGGAAGCACTTCAGAATATTCATCATCAATTTCCTACACATTTCCAGTCAAAAATACGGCAATTAAAAACCCTTGAATCTCGATACAATACATTTTTCGTTACAACAAATTTCCCATTCGGTCTGAAAACCAGACGGTTTTCTTGTAACGAGATTTTACTACTCCATGTGCCACTCCAATGTCAGACCTGAATAATCGGCAGGCCCGCAGACTCCACGGCGTCCCGCAGTTTGCCCATCGTCGTCTGTGCCTCCGACGCGATGAACGAGTGCGTGATGTGGGCGGAGAAGTCGACAGAGAACCCGATGCACATGACGAGACAACCAACAGACACGCAGTCCAAACTGACCCCCCACAAGCTCATGTAGCCCAGGATGCCCAGTTCTATGGATACGAGCGAAATGCCGACGTACAAGGCGCACTTGGACTCGGGGATCATGATCAGGGCAACGATCAGCATCACCACTGCGGCCATGCTAACAGTGGATATGGCCGTTTGCGTTGCTCCGATCAGCTAAACACAGAGAGAAAAAGAGGGGAGAACGTCAGTTCAATCATATATAAATGCTCGAAAAAAAAAACACGGGAGAAAGCCGCATTTACGTTTATAATCAGCGATCATCAGTTTTTTTCCTTTTCTTTTAGAAGTTTCTCGCTGCGTTGAATTCAATTCCACTAAGATGGATAGAATACTGTACAGTAAAATCTTGTTACAACGAGCTCCTGGGGACTTCAGAAAAAAAAATGTACTGAATAATTTCATAAAACGAGGCTTTCAGAATTAATGACGGGAAAAAATTGTTCATACCTCAGACCAGTCTATAATCAAACAGATCTTGCTTTTCTGGCATGCTCTGATTTTTTAAGATTATTATTTGAAAAACTGAGTGATCTTCTGAAGAAATTAGCTTCAAAAATGCATTCCACATAGTTGCATCAATATCTTCCTCCTGGGAGGATGATGGTTGGAACTACTTGGAAGCATGTTTGTCATTGATTACAGCTTCCATCCAGTCACTCACACTTGGGATTGGAAATTTTAGACTATGCCAGCCTTGGTCAGGAAATTTCTGCTTGGAGAATATATTAAACATTCCTCCAAACGGTTTGTTATACTGTACTCGAATTGGGAAGTTTGTTATAATGAGAATGTAATAAAAAAAGAACCGTACGGGTTTTCCGCTGGAACTTGATAAAACGTTTGCAATACTGAAAATTTTGTTTCAACAAGATTTTACTGTATTCCAAATCAGCTAAAAAAAAAGAAGTAAAAATCTAATTTTACTCAAGTACCTTTTTTTTCGCGAAATTGATCGAGGAAAGGGGGATGCACGTCGCACTTGAATATAATGAGGAACTTTTGGGAAAACTTTTTTTGATCAAAACAATTGGAAAAAATTGAATTCAGGTTGAATTCATGTTCAAATTTCACTTCTAATCTCTAATATTTTTTACATATTGTAGTTTTTCCGTCACTATAAATGGGGTGTGCGTCTTACTCAGGGAGAGGATTTCCAAAAAATGTATGGTTAAAAACTGGGGTGCGTCTCTTACTCCAAGTTGTGTGGTACTCCAATATATAGGGCACGCAATACTCTTTTAAAAAATTTATACCGACATCGTAGGGGATTTCATCTAAATTTTTCATCACAAAAATAGACACGACACTGCGCAAAAAATTCGATGACCAATCAAAGCATAATTAGAGCAGTTCAGAACCTTCGCATCGATCAACACACACAATTAAGAGAGCAAACAGCAGACGAGTCGAAGACACGAAAGTCTAAACGTACCAATTCGGCAAATGCAAACACCGGTGTGTAAGCCGTCAAATTGTACTGCGGAAATTCGTCCTTGAAAATCTGTCGCAAAAACAACATGCATCCTTTCACGTCCTCCAGTCCGGTCAAGTTGAAAATCTGGACAATGAATCGCGACGCCACAATCCGTCCATCCTCGTCAAACAACACGTCCAAAGAATTCTTGTTCTCTGCGCCACCCCACAGAAACTGCAAGAAAATACACGTGAGTTCAGCAAATTTAAAAATATACGAGACGGCGATCCATTATAATGTACTTACTTCATGCAGGTTTTCATTGAACATCGTCTCATTGGAGATATCGATGTGCGTGTATTCACTGGCAAGTTCAATCAATTTTTCAAATTTCCGCAGCCAGGAGTCCGTGTAGTTGTAGCCTGCATAAAACTGATAATCTTCTATCCGCGTCAGCAATCGTTCCATGTCATCTTTGACAGTTTGATTCGAATAATCCAGATGACCCTCAACCACGATCTGTAATCATAAGAGACGAAGAAGGGGTCTAATGCAAGTTCTCGTAATATAAATTAAAACGGTTTACGATTAACTTGATTAAAATGATTGTTGAAAAAGAATGGTTTGGCACAAGGAAGAAAAATGCAGTACTCTGACATAATTGAAACCTTTTTTTTTGCAAAAGTCACCATGGCGATTTTTTGCTCTTCCCTCGAAAGATGAGGCGCCTATCTCGCAGAATTTTTGGTGTAATCCAGCTTCTTTTTTAGATTTCTTGAAATTGGCAATGCATTAATTACAAGGGTTGCCTCCAGCAGGTCTTCCAAGGTTATTTCACCATTTTCATCCACACCCGCTACATTCTCCTCTCAACTGACGGATTTTAATGAAAATGACAGCAATCCTTGGAATTGATGCCATGTCAATTTCAAGAACTCTGAAGGACTAACTGGGGGTAGGCCGAAAAATCTGCGAGATGGGCGCCTCATCTTTCGAGTGAAGAGCAGAACTTCTGCATAAATTTTCTGAAAAAGATGTCAAACTGAGCTGAATTTTTCTTTTACCAAAGACTGTTTTTTGCGAACGATGATTGTCTTTCAGTTCAATCGCATGCCGTTTTCTAGTCCTAGAACTTTCGTCAAACCCCTCGTAGGCGATCGATCATAGGTGATGAATACTGCACACGGACATCATTCATCATTTAAAAAAAGAGGCTTCATACGCAGTTGCACGAATCGCATCAAGGTGTAAAATACCGGAATTACACAAAGAAAGTCGTTTCTCATTCGTGTTCCAGGAAATACGGCACATTTGTCTCGTCATCCGCAGCATTGAATTCGCAGGACGTTTCAAGGACAGAATCTGAATTAAATAAGAAAAACCACAGGAAGCACTCACAGCAACACGGTACGGGTAATCCATGAAGTCCTCGTATCTGCGATCGTAAAATGATACGTAGTACGAATGATCGGTCACCAATCGCTTCAAGCTGAGACCTTCCTTCAACTGCATTACACCGTAGATTCCACCAGCTAGGTATGCAACGTAAGCGACGACAATCGCCACCTGAAACACACGAATTAATACGAATAAAATAAAAGGGACATGAAAGAATGAAATATAAGTAAAAAGGAAAAAAGAGACATAAAAAACAAACACGAACTCGGCAATTCAGGGAAATTCAGAGGAGACCGAGTGAAACTTTCATTATTCAAAATACTGTAGTGGCCTTTCTTCCGGAATAAAAAATAAAACAAACCGAAAATCGAAAAGCCATTCTCCTCTTATATGAATGTTAGATGTCAAAACTGTTACCCAACTTATTATTTTTTTCGAGATAACTTTTCCAGAATCTCCGACACACGAAATGAATATGACAGTGTACAGCAGTGGTATGCAGAAATTGTTTAAGGGGTCCGCGGAAACATTTTCTTCAGTATAATAAAATCTATCAAAGCTGGTATTGAAGTCTGTTATCTTCATCTTAAGCTGCAAGACAACGGTAGATTAAATTTTGTGATGGAAAAAAGCGGGGCTTTCTCCTAATCACAATTTCCACCAGCTAGAATTATTTATTGCGAGTATTCAATCCAAAAAACCTTCATCGGAGTCCAGCTTTCTAGTTTTTTCATGATATTTCACTAAAACTGACTCACAGGTTTCCGACTTAATTTTGGTAATAACAAATTTAGCTGGTAGGCTTTATGGTAGCTATTGGAAAAATTTCTGCTGGTCTGAAATATTTTTATGGAACTTTGCCAGTCTGCGGGCCAACTAGCAAAAACAAAAGGTTGAGGAATACTGTAAGTACATAAAATCTTGAAAATACCAAGAACAATAGATCGGCTGCGAGAAAAATCCGTAGGTTGCAAATTATGCAGGTAAAATCCAGACGAATGAGGCAATTTCTTCCAAGATGAATTCCCGTGCTCTTGAAAGTCTTGTAACTATGATATTAATTCTCCTTCAGTGGTTAAAAAAAAAACTCGACTCGACTAATGGACTGCTTCATCATCATCACATACAGGTACAGTATTAACTCGTCCCACAGCGCAATGATAAATGACCTGCGAAACGATGCAAATAAGAATGATAAAATATAATTCATAGCATTGCCGAGATCAACTTGAAAAGAGAAATTAACTATACAGTAATATGCAGTAGAAGTTACTCATCAGTAAGTCGAAAAAACGGATAAAAAGATCCGTTTATTTACTCTTCCTGGCACCACTATGAAATACTTCACTGTGTTTACTCAAATACCTCGCGCCTTTGAGTAAGACATGCACCCCAATTTTTTTTAACTCTATAACTTTGATGAAATCCTATCTCCATCCAATGGGACGCGTACTCACTTTGTAGTGAATGAAAAAAAACCAAACTAAACAGTCAAATGGTGATAAGCCGCCATCATTTGTTTGCGAGTTTCGCGGCGGTTTAAAGGAGGTTGGTGGTTCATCAAAATAGCTAAAATACTATGAAAATCAAATACTGTATAATAGGAAATGAATTTTTTTTCCTCGTAGAAAGTAATCAAAATAACCCTGGGATGCGTGATTTATTCTGGGGGTTGCGGCTCAACTGGGTTTGACAGAAACATTTTTCGAAAAGAAGAGACACCAGGATTCAAATTTAAGCATGAATTTAACCTGGTCACATTGCTTTCAATTGTCTTGATTCAAAATACGTTCCAGTCAAAAAATTCACAATACATTCAAGCGCGACGCGCACCTAAACTTCCGACATTTCTAACAATTTTTATCCACGTCTATGACGCGCACCCCATTTTCCCCTCTCGATTTTGAGAAAAATGTTGCGCGTGGTACTCGAGTATACTGTACTGTACTGTATACGGTAAACAAGCAGGAAAACAACCGAATAAAAAATTGCAAAAACACTGAGTATGCGCTGGAAGATACTGCGACCCGCACCAACAAGACATGCGGGTTGAAAAATGATAGAAAAACGCAGAATACGGGACAAGAGAACCGCATTCAACATTCGAATGAAATAGTTTCACGTCATCATCATCATACTGTACAATGAAACAAAAGAATACTGTGCTGTAAAATCTCGTTATACTGTAACATATTTTCCAGCATAACAAACTTTTTCTCAAGCCCTGACTGAAAGCCCATAGAGGGCATAGAGTATACACGTTAAAACAGTCTCATTACAACAAATTCTCCAAACTTTGTAAAATAAACTTTTTGAGGAATATTCAAAAGGTTCTCCCTATATAAATTTTTCAGGCTTAGGCAGGCACAGTCTGAAATTTCCAATCCCAAATGTAAATAATGCTGACTGGTTCTTATCGTGGCATGGATGGAAGCTGTAATCAATGACAAACATGCTTCCAAGTCATCCACACGTCATCCTCCCAGAGTTAAAAGATTGTTTCGAATGATTGAATGATGTAAACGATAAAAAAAATCAGAGAATGCCAACATAAAAGCAAGATCTACTAGATACAATAGACGGGGGTCTGACTTTAAAATTTTTTCCAGTAATTAATTTTTGAAAATCTCGTTAAATTAAAATTATTCAGTGCAGCAAAATAAAAAACTTTTTCTCCCCCAGGATCCCCAAAAGTTTGTTATATAAGTAATGTAGTGACAAAATTTCCCTGTATTCAAATTTCCCTCCAATACTGCATCGTCGCAATACGAATCCTAACGCAGAAATTACCTTGACGTATTTCCTCGTGATGTAGTCGGCAAACTGCTCCCTAAAGAAGAGCATGACGGCGTGGTCGGCCGAGCCAGCCGGCAACCCGGCCATCTCCTCCTTGGTGTGGCCCCCGGTGCACAGCCACACGTACCACTTGCTTTTCCCGACCTTCGCTGAGTATAGCATGGCAAGAAATGGACCGCCGGCATCAGACGGGATCAATAAATCACTGCAATCAATCGTCTCGGGATATTACCTGCTTCCACCTTGGAAACTGCCTTGGTGAAAACGAGGGAGTGCCGGTTGTCTCGCTCCAATCGTCCGAACACCGCCAGCCACGCGCCGTAGAAGGTGATTTGAAATATGTACAGGAACAGAATCGAGATTCCTGCAACACATAATTAAACTTTGCTTCACTGCAAGACAACACGCCCATTGTTCGGGGTACTTCAACCAATAATCCCTTCACAGATAGAGCCTGCAGCTTAAAATATTTCGGTCTTTCCTCCTTTTTTTTCGGGACATCAGAAATTGATTTATGAATATTTTTCGCAACTATTGTCATCTATAAAAAAAAAAGATAACTAACCTAACCTGAATTAACTTGACCTAGCCTATCCTAAACTAACCTGCCAAAGACTACACTAAACTAACCGAACACAAAATAAAATGAACAACCAAAAAAATAGAAGAAACTATCAAAAATAAAATAACCTTGAAAAATAAAATAAAGCACAGTAACAAAAAAAAAGTCACCTAAACCAAACTACCTTTTTCACCAACTTTCAAGAATTGTCACCTTGAAAAAAAAATTGATTCATTGGTTTCCTCTATTTTAAGATGCTTGAACCAGAAGGTAGTTGTCCCAAAAAAGCAAAGGATGACAGGTCACCCGGGATGGTGATATCCAAAAGTCAAATTTCTGCCTGTTGCAGTGTTAGTGAATGACAGTTGAAAATCCAAGGCAAAATAATCAAAAGACTTTCCTCCTAGTTATTAAGACAATCTTTTTTGTTCAATACTGTACTGTAATTATACAGTACAGATTTAGACCATCCATTGCAGGTTATCCAGAACCCCTTTTGCAGGGGTTCTCAAGCGTAATCCTAAACCCACCAATTATTAGTTTCACTCTGACTAAAAAAAATCGTTTGCTTCATCTCACTGCATTTTACTAGAGCAACACATTTTTGCAATAACTCAAGATACTATTTCATGATTTGCGAGGTCAGAAAGAAGCACAAATAAGTTCTAGGCAGTACAGTATCACTCAGACGATCGGTAAAAATTTTAGTTGTGGAATGTTTGCTCTCCGAAGTACTCGGCATTCTTTATCCACATTCAGCCACAAGGTTTTCAGATTTTTACACAAAACTATTCAATACTTTTAAAAGCAGAATAAAAACCGAAGCCCTCCAGCTTCAAATTACTTCTCGCGGATTCGTCTCTCACAGAACAGAATCAGTGGTCTAAAAATTCTGCGAAAATCTCATGTTTTGTCTATACAGTGCGAAATAAAAAAAAAACCCTTCACTGAATTTTCCCTTCTTGAAATACCATCAATTTTTAGTGCCAGCATCCGCGCTTATATTAGTGCCACAAAAATTTTGCCAGGACAAGTGCGGGTGGCACTAAATCGACAAAGCAGTATCGCGATTCGAAATCACACCTGAGTAGACGCAGAAAATGTTGAGAACCCGGAACGAAGAGGTGGCACCAATGAGAAAGCTCAACACGTTCGTCAGCGACGTGATCGTCATGGAAACCGCGGCTTCCGCATACGTTTCTTCAATCCTCTTTTCAACCGGGTCGAGCACGCTCGTCTTCCGCCACGCTGCCAGCATCAAGAACGTGTCCTCCATTCCGATCCCTGGCATTCAAAATAATTACCCCCCACCGAAACTTCATTAGATCACCTGTTTCAATAACCACACACAGTACAATCAGAAACTACAGCCCAAACAATGTATGAAAACAACCACAGGAACATCGGATTAAGCGCTGAATTAGCTGAAAAAGCAGAAGCAAGATCCTTGACCAGCACGACGAAAGCTCTACATCTCTTCAGCCTATACAACCGCTTCAAAAAGTAAAATGGACGATTTCCAGAACACTCTTGGCAGATTCCATTCACACCATATCCATGCACATCAGACTTGGACACCAACCACCATGCATAGATCCGATTCAATGTAATACTGTACTTCACATTAACATGTAAGCCTAACAGGATAAAGCTATAGAAGCTGCTGTGAAGAATTTCTACAAGTACAGAAAGATCTCATTACAACAAATAGAGTTATACTACATTTTCAGGACTCTATAACACAATTTTTCTCAGGTTCCGGCAGAAAGTTCATAGAATACGCGTTAAAACAATTTCATTATGAATAATTTCCCAATTTCATCATGACAAAATTTTTTGAGGATGTGCAATACATTTTTCTGGTAGAAATTGTCTGACAGACACAGTCTGAAATTTCTGATCCCAAATGTGACTGACAGGTTCTTGTTTGTAGCATGGTTGGAAGCTGTGATTGATGTAAACATGTTTCCAAGTGTTTCCACACACCCAAGAATGACGACATTGATGCAACTGATATAATGCATGATTGAAGCTAATTTTTCAGATCACTCAGTTTTTCAAACAATACTAAAATAATAACACGAACATCAGAATGCCTGAAAATCAAGATCTAATTCATTACAGGCAGGGGTGACATGAGAATTGTTTATAATCATTGCTTTTGAAAAATATCATCTTGTCAGTAAAATTATTCAGCACGACAATCTTTATTGAAGACCCCAAAAACCTTTGTTGTAACGAGATTTTCCTTCATTAAGATGTATAAATTTGAAGTTTCTGTTCCAAAAAGTCAAGGAAGAGTCGATCCTAACTAGGGAGAGGAATGGGAATCGTAGTTTTAAAAAATGCTGCGAAGCGGCACTCCCGCAAGTTGATGTTGTTGTTTCAAAAATGTAAGAAATCGTTGACAATTTTAAAATTTTGCCAAGAATCACTGCAGTGTAGACTATAGATACTGAAAAAAACAGACGATGCGCCCCTCGAAATTAAGGCTCGTAACCTTGAAAAGATGACGAGTGAAACCATCAAAGAACCATGATGTCGCACGACTCTTGGTTAACGAGGCTCTTATAGCTTTCAATACTGTAGATAGAATTGTACAACTTTTCTATGAATTCCCGCTACTACAGCGCATTTCTTCCATTTTATCGAATGTTATTACACGAAAAGGGCGAATCACATTCATCCACAAGGAAGCGACGGATCCCGAACAAATTTCCTTCTAAAGAAAAAAAAAAGGGGGCTAGTCGTAGAGCTCGAAGAAAGAAAGGAAGGAAGGAAGGGAAACTAGATAGCAAACCCAGAGGAAAGTAGTACAGTAATGTATTAGGCTTTCACTACTCCCCCATAGCAACCAAAAGAAAGAAGCAGGAAATTCTCCTTATTCCACGCACATCAATAACATCAGTTCGAGGTGCATCCCAGATGAAACATGCGGGCTTCGTGAGTGAGAAACGGAAAATGTGTCCCGCAGCTGTGAGTTGCTATGCTTCCATAATAACTGCAGGCCGCGACATTCTAGACGTTGCGGAACGAAATAGAACACACCCACATGGCACAGGAGAAAATGCCGTGAGTTGAAAAGGAAGAGTCGGAAAAAGAAGAAATCGGACACAACGTCTCCTCTATATACAATCGACGCAACGATGATTGCGTCACGACATAATGAAGCAAACCTTCCGACTTGGTAAATACTAATGAAAAGGATCCTGCGGAACACAGCAATTTGCATTCCTGAAGACATTACATAAACGTCTATCCGAACGAGTATGAACGTTTATGAGACGCACTCGAGCGCCAAAAACGCAATGAATCATTTCATTAAATCATTTCTATTCACTGAGGGGAACTTGGAAATTTTGAATTCTCACTTTCATGCCACGTCGAAAAAAAAAATATTGCAAGTACTGTACAGCGAAGTAAGATCTTGCTACAACAAACTATCAGGGACCAGGCAAAAAATCTTTGCATGGAGATTGACACATTTTAGACTGAAATATCTTCAAACACCATCTTTTACTTTCTGTCGCATTTCCAACTGATACACAGCAAAATAATAAAATTCTTATGGCTTTCTTTCCCATGGACTTGGCGCCACATATTTCCTCTTTTTTTCGTTGCTTACATGTGTTCATATGCTTGGAAGGGGCACTATTTTTGGGGGTTTTCCTTTGAACACTTCATCCCGTGTACCCCGTGCACCCTATTTTTCGGCCTCAATTTCTGGAAAAAAGGGCGCGTGGCACTCCAGTAAATCCGTTACCGGTTTCCCCACATAATTTCGAGAATCTCGTCTCGACAAATTTTTCACGACGAAGAATTTTTCATCAAGTCCAAAGGAACTGGTTGGAAAGAGATTTTACAGTACTGTACACTCGTATCATGGCATAGCAACTCGTGGAGGCAGGGTGATTGGACGTTCGACAGAAGATAAAAGATACAACGAGCAGGATGTTTTTTAAATAACCCGGCGCAACGATTGGTTATTGTAATTAGTGTACACTACCATGCACTATCTTGAAAAACAAACAAACATGATGACTAAATAATGATGATAATAATAATAATACAGAAAAAAAAAAAAAGATGGATACCAAGCATGAGGAACGGCGTGATGTAGAGCACAGTCGTGAACGGGAGTCCAAAGCACATGAGGAATCCGTACGACGAGACGGTCGCCAGGCCCGTCGACACGACGCCGATGAACCCGAGCCAGGGCTTGGCTTTGACCCAGTCCGCCATCATGCAACAGAACACCGAGTAGATGACGACCAGGGTGCCAGCCAATAGACCCTGAGCAGGCACGAAGTACTTGAGCCCGTCGAACTCGATTTCGACCGTCGACGACGTCTCGTAGAAGATGTCCGTATGGTTGAGAAGAGACGCCACACGCTCCATCTCCGACAGGAACTTGAGTTCCCATGCCTTGCCTCTGTTGAAACATCAAACAAAATTTTCATTAAAAAAAGTTATTCCCCACAGCAGGGCCGAATTCCCACGTCGTTTCATCAACTGATCTCTGCGGAAAAGTGACAGCTTCGATCGTCAGCCAAACAAGGCAAGAGAGTTTCGATCTAGGCTCGCCAACAATTTTCGAAACCCAGAATGTGAATTTCAAAAAGCTGATCACGAGTTATTCACTACACGAGGCTTGTCCCAGTTGGACACGACCTCGCACATTCTTAGAGTAAGTGTGATGGTACTGTACAAATTTCATGACAGAACCAATAATGTTGTACGGTTCTGGATTCCCCCCCCCCCCCCCCAGTGATTTTTAAGGTTTTTCAATCCCCTGCATGACGCCAACTCGACTTTCCAGTTACAACCAGAGTTCTTCATCAATGTCAAAGGGCGATAAAAATGTTTCAGGCCAGCTAAAAAAAAAAATAATTTGATGTTGTTGTTGTTGTAACCCGTATCTAAAAATTTTAGAGAAGATGGTGGTGTTAAGAAAACAGAAATATTCCATCCCAGGGTTGTCCCAGTTGGACATCTGTTTCAAATTAGGCATCTTGAGCAGACGAATGAAGAGGGCAAAGAGGGCTTCCCTCAAAAGGGCATAATTAAGGGATTCCTATTTAATTCTAACGCGTACAAAAAAGATGAATGCCTTGACTTAGATAAATAGCGACTGCAAATGATGAAACCCAACGCAGTTGTACTGTACTCCTTCTAAGTATTCTAACGAAAATAAAAAAACCTTCCTTTGCACTAGTGCAACGATTCGAAAACATGCACATCAATAACCATGTTGTAGAACAACAAGCGAAAACTCCTGCATGTTGTAAAACAACATGCAAAAGGGAATAGAAAAATCAAAGGATTTTAAAAACGTTTCCATTCTTAAACGGTTGGAGGCATCACCTTAAAAATCCATGCCAAACATATATACAGTGCATTCAATTAATTCTTCTAGTAATTTATAATTTCTCGATCCTGGCTACTTGGGTAATTTGAAACAAAGAAAGAAAACCAAATACCGTACCATGGAAATTATCAAAAACACATTTTGGAGTCCCAGAAATTCAGGTCTTACTCTAAATAATTCCGAATAATTGATAACGGCAAGAAAAGCACTTTTGCAAGGTTCTTCTCGGTCACAGATTTTGGTTGTCATTTTGACAGGGAAAAGTTGAATGGAGGGTTCTATCGAATAGGTTACGAATTCAAAAACCTTTCAAAATCGCATACAGTATACTGTACTTGACTACACTAGAGGATCTGCAAATCTGAAATTTGAAGAACTAAAACAAAGGACAGAATTGGAAGGCCAACGATCCTGCAGCAACTTTCTTCACGAGTAGTTTCCTTTCTGAAATTAAGGTGATACAGTACATATAAATATGTACAACTAGAATCTCGCAACTTGAAACATTTTACGATTTGATGAACTTGGATTTGGGTCACGTGTTCTTTCCCCACGTGGCAGCTTCAACAGATATTATATTGTTCAAGAAAAACCCCGTCCAACTCTTGAGGAAAATCTCGCATATGAGAGGAAATTTTTCTCGTGCGAAAAACTGAAATAGAATACGATTAAACTGAAACCAATCATTCTTTTAAAAATAATTTGGCGCAAGAAAAGAAAACGCAGCCTCGTTTCACACATTTTTTCAGATTTCTTGAAAATGACAGTAATTTCGAATGGTGACCGCCATTTAATTGCTCATTCATTTCGTCATTTCAATTTACAGCCGCCACTCGGGGTGAGAATGTGGCAGCTGTTGATGAAAATGGCGGAATAACCTTGGAATCCATGACACGTCGATTTCAAGAATTCTGAAGGAGAGGCTGGGCTACACCGAAAAATCCGCGAGATTGACGCCACATATTTCTGAGTAAAGAGCAGAAAACTTGGCCCGGTGACTTTTGTAAAAGCTTTTGGAAAAATACTACGTGGAACAAGGCTACATTTTTATTTGCTTGTGCCAAAGAATGTAATTTTTTCTGAACAAAAAAGGCTTTTAAGGTCAATTACCGTATTTTCTGGAGTACCAGGTGCCCTCCAATAAGGCGCGCACCCCCAATTTTCCGGGTGAAAATTGCCCAAAAAGCTATCCCCTCATATGACGCGCACCCCAGTTTTTGCTGGCTAAAATGTAATTTGTAAATTTTTTTATTATTTGAGCTGCCTCCAATCTCAAATAAATGACTCAGAAACATCAAACTTTTGACCTGCTGCATAGTCGCCTATTTTTTCAGCCTCTGAAATCACTTTTAACTCGTCTTTAGCAGTGAAAGAAGACAAACAAATGCTTGCTTGTTTCCATGCCAAATCCTGGCAGTGAACTAATTTCTAGTGGTCTAGATGTTGTGAAATTTTACGACTATCCTGTTTGGATCCATTGTAAAAATTAATGTTTTGTGCTTCCTCCTTTTCATTGCCTACTGGAGCAGCAGTAAAATGCTCTGGCATTTAATGGCAAATTCCCCTATTATAGAAGACAATTTGCCACATCCTTTTCTTCCTCTTGCATCTCAGATACAATTTTATTATTTCCAGAAAATTCTCTTGCTTGAAGTAATACTTTATTCCTAAATTGCTATCTGATCCCTTCAACCATTATTTCCTCATGAATAATGAGACTGGGTGTCATGCGTTTCCTCTTTATTTTTTCTAATATACTGGCATCCCACTCACATATGATTTTCCAAAATTTTATCCTTGGGTACCCCGCGCACCCTTTTTTTCTGGCTTGAATTCTGGAAAAAAAAAGTGTGCATGGTACTCAAGTAAATACAGTGGATGCCGGTTTCAATTTTTTTTAAATCTCTAGTTCGTTCTTGTTCTAGACCCCCTCGTAAATGTACTACTGTACTCTCTGTAGAGTACCGTGAAATGAACAGGAGATAAAAAAAATAAAACGGGTACATAACACCCACCCCACCCCCCGTCCAACCTGCTGGCTTCCAGATGCCCTCCGGCACTGAGGATGAAGAACAGGCCCACGGCCGGCGTGCTGACCACGACGTCGTCCACCAGTACCGGCTTCCCGATCGAGCCCGGCAGGATGATGTTATCGAACGCCTTCTCGTCGAAGAAAAAGGGCCACGTGAGGTTGACCTGGCCCGACTCGACCTTGTCCACCACGTTATTGATCTTGATGGCTTCCGAGAAGAAGCAGTCGTGGTCCCAGCGGGCGCAGAGGTCAGTGTACGTCAGTGTCGTCGTCTTGCCGGCGTCGTCCGACACCTCGATGCTTATCCCGCGGATCAATTCGTTGACAATCACGATCTCGTCGAAGCAATTGCGGCGCAAGATGTTCCCGCGGTCTTTCGGGTAGATTAACACGTGACCATAGCTCCCAAACGTGGCCGACCTGCCAAATACCGACAAAAAATAAAAAAAAATAAACCACACGAGTCAAGTTTCCATCATCATAAGCAAGTTTCAACTACACTAATGGGGTGCTCATTACATAGAAGAAAAATAAAAATGAGATAGACTGGCTTCCTTCTTCCGGGACACGAGACGATACACACACACACAAAAAGGTCTTGTAGTGTCACGGTGCGTGTCCATGTTCAACAGAAAATACAGTATAGATAGACTAAATGATACGAAGAAACAAGTCATCCCCAGTTATCAAGTCGTCCACTCCAAAAGCACATCCCAGGCACAAGATGATTAAAAGAAATTACATTGAATTTTGGAATCTTCATCATTGATGATAAGCATAACCTTGCAATGTGAAACCAGGAATCTTAACCCCCATGGACAAGATGGCGTAGCTTCACTTACATACTGCACGTTTAATGGAGAGCATTTCTGTGACAGAAATTCAAAATGCTGCTAGCTGAACTGTTACGAAATTTCTACGCAAAGACACGACGTTTCTAAGCAAACAACGCCCTCAAATAAGTATACCGAATCTTGAAGTGATCAATGACCCATGGAATCAATCATTTTCAATTTTTTTTCAAACTTTGTAAACGACTAACAATTAATCACACGATGATTGGACAGTGGTCTAATATTCCGAATGCAGTAAAATAAAACAAAATATTAGCCTTCCTGCACTGATTCAAAACATGAACGAAACTGCAGTTGCATGCAACAGTCGAATAAAATAATCGGAGAAGTCTATGCTCTATGGAACACCGATGGTAATACAATGAAATTCTGCCAAAAACCATTTTTATCACAAGATTCGTTGTGTCATGAACACTGTTTCTTCGTCCAAGAGTTTCTTCATAGGGACAACGTCATAAAGATTCCATTAGAACGAACTAGTTTTCTTGTGCAATCTCGGTCTAACGCATTTTCATTTCGATCATGTGAGCAAACCTTTTCGCACAACGCCTGAAAAACCAACTGATGATGCCTGATTGAAAAACCTTAATAAAATACAAATTATAATCTTTTCGTGCAGTGAACTTAGTAATCCAAGAAGTAAATACTGTCGGAATCAAAAATATCAGCTTTACATCAGAATATAAAAAATTTGTCAATTTTCCTAAGGGAAATTACGATAAGTTTCAAATGATACTGCTTCATTTCAGAGAACGCACATTTCTTAGTGAATGAATACTCTTTGAAGATGGATTTTTGATTTCTTTCGCCCATGTTTCAGTTACTATATACGTATTGGCAGAACAGTATTTTCATTTAGAAAATTTAGGAAAGAGAAGTCTGAAATAAGAAAATTATGCACATTTTATATTTTGAAAAGAAGTTGGAAGTTTGGGCAATTCTTCACAAACCTGTGATTGCGGATGTGCAGTACAGCACTTTGAAACATAGATCACCCGTTTCTCATAAAATGTTAGCACTACATGATCGAAGTACCGTACTGTACCATGACTAATATAACGGGTTATTTTATCAGGTCCTAGGAAGTTCGTCATAAATAGATTTTATTGCATTTGTTCAAGTTCAGTACATTTTTAACGACTTGTAGATAAAATCCTTTCCAATAACTCATAGAGGAAACGGAAATTCGGTCATCAGCCAAGAAAATTCCTCGGAATCGTTCAGGATAAGCAGATGCAGTTATTGGAAATAAACGCAGGGTCAACCTCAGAACAAGTAAGCACCGGTGCTATAAATATCAACGAATGTCCGAATGACCCAAGTTCATTTACATTCAAGTTCAGTTCAGTTCAGTTCTCTGTATATATACGCTACGAATTTCAGCGGCGAGGTGCCACTGACTCGAGCGTCAAGTTCAGCAAGCAGAGAAAGATGTCTCGTTACGCCTCTGAAGAACCTGATCCACCGATCCAGACAGCAAATCATGCAGGTCATGCATAAGCAACCAAAAACCACTCGCTTTATTCGGGTGTCCACAAGCGTTTCAAGGCTCTCAAGGAGACGACATCTCAGGGCTACGGAATTATTCACACCAGGAACACACACGTCCCTTGAAATCAGTGCACCCAACGCGGGATGCGGAAACAGTGTGTCCCGAATTGTCCCGTCTACCAACCCAATGTCGAAGGTATACTGTACTTCCCACATCCAACGCAAAATGGAAAAGTTTCAATTTTTCAAAAGGTTGACATCTCCTCGACAAATTAAGCTTTTACCCATACAGTGGACCCTTGGTTGAGAAACTCAATTGGTTCAAGACAAGAGTTTGATTGTCAACCGAATTTGATTTTCCCATAGACATCAATGGGGAAGAATTTAATCCATTCCGCGAACCCAAAAAGACAATTGAAAATTGAGTATAAAAAATGCAAGACCATCAACCATAATAAGAAATGGTCGTTGCTGCATCTTATATGAGCCCAGAATGTTTTTACAGCCTTACATGTAAGTAGCACAGGTGGAAACGATGATTAACAGCTTCATATCCAGAGAAACACACACTGTAGGATACATGTCATGTGAGAACGAAAATTTATTTTTTTAGTGCGGCAATTAATGATCAAGTAGACCTTTCTAACAATTGAACAACTAGAACAACCAAGCACAGAAAAGCATGCATGAATACTGTAGTTGAAAAAATTTAAAAACACAAGATTGCATATACTGTAATAAATTGACAAGATGAAGGGATTTTCATATCAGTACATAGGTGAATTACTTGCACTTAGATTGTACCATAAACTTCAGCCTTATTTTCGAAATTTTCCCCAGAAAAAAGTTCATTGACAGAATTCTGGTTTGTTACTCGAAGGATTTTTTCTCAACACCAAAAGTTTGTTAGCTAAAAGATTTATAATCTTGGCAGTTTGTTAACTGTTGGTCAACTGTATTTACTTGAGTACCACGGGCGGCACGGTTTTTCAGTCAAAATTTTTTATGAAGTCTAGCCCTGGGTGAGATGCGCAACTCATTTTCAGTGACTTTGAAACTGCAACTTCTCAAAGTGCTCTAATAACATCCGAATTTGGATTTAGACAGGATTAGATCCAGAATTCAACTAATTTTCAACTGCTTCCATCACAGTAAGTTTTCCATTGAAATTGGAAAAATTTCCATTCAAAATTAAATACTGTATAAAGCACACCTGAGCTTCCAAATTTGAAAAAAAAAAAAAAACCTATACCCAACTATGACGCGCATCCTTTCTCCCTCCCAATTTCGACAACAAGGGTGCAACAAGAATCAGACATCAGCTTCATTAATAAATTCACACTACAGTACTTCATAATCCAAAACAGACTAATTTTATGCTTCTTTTTCAGTTTTCTTTTTGTCAGGAAAACTTGTGAGTATCCCTTGCTTCTTAGGCTCCTTTTCATATAATCTCATAAGATCAGATTCTGCGTGGTTTTCTTTCGCACATTTATTTTCTGCATCTCAAAGTTAAAAAAATAATAAGTTCATACAACTTTTAGGGGACTCTATCAACAGGAAAACCCATTAAATATGTCGCCATTCAAGTCTATTCCAACATAAGGAACAGGTCCTGGCACCGATTACGTCCGCATCTCGGGACCCCAATACGCACAGTATAACGTCACAGATCGCCTAATGAACCTGGAACGAGCAATTTCCGATTCATTTCGGCAGGCTTGATCTTAATACAGCGCCGAACTAACTTTCGAATGATGCCGGTTTTCCCCGGGATATTTTTTTCGTCACTGGAAAAGCTTTCCATAATTCTACATCCGCTAAACAGCGACTCCAGAGATAAAGCACGTCGTCAACAGGGTATCCACGACACACAGCGGTATTATTCGGGGTGTGCCATATGGACGACCAACAATGCATATCTACCCTCCACAATGAGCGAGGAACACAGCTTGGTGTTATTTTAGCCTTCTGCGGAACAATGCGTGACATTCACACTGGGTCTTCCGTGCAACGCCCTAAAAGTTTCAACACATGGCTCCGACATACGAACGATTCGACTTAGAGACACTTGTAACTGAAAAAGATGTAACCGGGATCCTGGAAATATTTCGAGGTACGGACAATTTGCCTGAATGTCCAGAAAAATTAAGGAATTTTTGAAAATTTCCGAAATCTCTTATATCTTGAGCACTTTCATTCGTCCATCAACTGTGTCCGAAGTGGTGATATATGCGTAATTTTTGCTTTTCGGACTCCCCTTTTGATTCCCAGCCAAAAACCTCACAAAAAATGGCGGCGATTTATCGACGGTTGACCGTACTGCACTAATTTCATTATGAATACACAATGAAATCGAAGAAAATTGCAGTGCAGGAGCATTATTCGATCACAAACAAACAAACTAGGACAAAAGTTCCCGAACGCTGTTTCTGAAAAGATAGCACGTAGGGCAAGCGGGTGCCATTCTGCGCATAAAGAAGGGAAGCAAATAAAAATTCGTCAACACGTTCAAACAGAAAGTTGACTTTCAAAATCCATTCCCATGAGCGCGGTTAGAATCGATAAATATCAAAGATATCGCATGAAAAAAAGGGCAGATCGTTTTCCTCCACTTCCTCAGCCATCGGGTCATTTCATCAATAAAATCCATCACTTCATATGAGCCAACAGAAAAGTCTGAAAACAATGTAAAGAAGGGAATTCAACCTATAATCTCGCTAATAGGATTTCCGTAAATTATGCGCGCAAAAACAAATTCATGTCATTCGAACACCACATGAAAGAGGCACCATATTGTGAAAGGCCAAGTTCCGTAAGTAATTTTAGTCAACGTTATTTTGGACTTGATTCAGCGAAAAAAATGAAAATGAAACTACAGTAAATAGTCCCCGATAAGCCATACATAAGAACATGTTCCGCACGAAATGCTCAATATATATTTTGTATTTTTCTGAAATAAAGTATTTCGCGAGCCAAAAAATCGTGAGTAAACCGGAACACGAGAAAGAGAGAGAGAAATACATGATAACCATAATTTCCAGACAAAAATCCAATCCAATAATCGGACCTGTGAAAAATCGTTATAGCGAAGAATTCGTTAAATTGAGATGCATGGTTTCTGAACATTTATGATCACGATTTCGTGGGAAACAATAATTGCTGTACAGCATTTCCAGCTCATTTTTTTAAATAATAGAGAAGAAATAAAACTTTTTAATAAAATTCTCTGGTTTCAGATCTTTCCTCGCCTAAATTTCGTAAAATGTACTGAATTGACAGAAATGCAGACCAAAAACAAAAAAATATGCATGCGTAAGACAAGCATTTACTGTACTCCATAAAAGTTTCATGCCCACTTTAATACAACAGTACTGTTTCAAACATTTTTTCCAAATATGCATTCCTGAAATCTGAAATAAAGCCTAAAAGTTTGTATCAAGAACATCATGCTTCATTATTCGTTTAATGAGGCAAAATCTTCCGTACAATAAGATTATAATTTATCTTCTATGATTTTGTATCGTCGAGAGTATTGGTGATAAGTTTCAAACTGATTTTTTTCATAACATTGTTCTCGTAAAGAAAATGTCAAGACCAAGAAAAAATCGTTGAAATGGAATTTTACAGTAGAAGGTACTGCATATGCCTCGTTGGAGGACATACGAGGGTTCTAACCAAAGTTTTCGGAATGAAAATGGCGTCTAATCGAGCTGAAAACAAAAAATTATTCTTTAGGGGAAACATATTCTTTGGCACAAAAAAATCAGCCCTGTTTGACAATTTTTTTCATTGTTTTGCAAAATTCACCCTGGCAGAGTTTTGCTATCCACTCAACAAATGAGGCGCCCTTCCAGCAGTTTTTTTTTTGTAGCCCAGCTTTCCCCGAAGAATTCTTGAAATCAATGTGGCATTAATACCAAGGGTTGCCTCCAGGTCTTCAAAGGTAATTTCACCATTTTCAACAGCCACTATTTGGCGGCTGTTAAGTCCACAAGTTTTGCCACGCACAAAAAAGTAATCAATCGAAGTGATGCCCACAGGCTGCAGTCGATGAATACCTTTATATAATGGGATACTCGTGATTCGAAGCGACTTTCTACACTTACAAAACGAAACGACCTCATCAAAACTATAATGACACAGATGCGTCATCAAGCGCAGACCGACGCAACTTCAATTATCGTGTGAATATTTCCACCGTGCGTCCTTGGTCACTGTGACAGCATCAAGTACACATGTGTATCTTGATTATGTGAAAAGATTACGTGAAATAAAATAAGCTGTGGCACCCGACGGAGAACGAGAATGAACACGCACCCGCACACAAACACATTCCCATATGACACGTCGTCACGCGATCGACTCCTGCTCCACCCAGTCATTCATCCATCCATCCATCCATCTCGTCCTTCTGTTTTCTCTCTTCTTCCACCAATGTCAAATCTTTCTCATTCAGTCACAGCCCGTGCACATGAAAATTGGCTGTTTCTAAAA